GGTAAAATTAAAGAAATGCATTATCCATGTTTCTCTTTTTTCTTATGAATCTGCTAGACAGTTCTAGAAATTTGATATGAAGCCCCTGAGGAGGAAGCTGCTCCACTGTCTATTAGCGCAAAATTCTCACCAGACATTTGTGAAAATGGTGAATGTGTTCACTAAACTGATAGGAGTTACTGGTGAAATTGAAGAGATGCATTATCCGTGTTTCTCTTTTTGTCTTGTGAATCTCATAGAGAGTTCTAGAAATTTGATATGAAGCTCCTGAGGAGGAAACTGCCCCACTGCCTATTAGCGCAAATTTCTCGAAAGACATTTGTGAAAATGGTGAATGTGCTTACTCAACTGATAGGAGTAGTGGTAAAATTTAAGATGTGCATCATCCGTGTTTCGCTTTTTTGCTTATGAATCTGGTAGAGAATTCTAGAAATTTGATATGAAGCCTCCGAGGAGGAAGCTGCACCATTGCCTATTAGCGCAAGATTCTCGCCAGACATTTGTGAAAATGGTGAGTGTGCTTCCTAAACTGATAGAAGTGGCTGGTAAAATTGAAGAAATGCATTATCCGTGTTTCTCTTTTTTCTTATGAATCTGCTAGACAGTTCTAGAAATTTGATATGAAGCCCCTGAGGAGGAAGCTGCTCCACTGCCTATTAGCGCAAAATTCTCGCCAGACATTTGTGAAAACGGTGAATGTGCTTCCTAAACTGATAGGAGTTACTGGTAAAATTTAAGAAATGCATTATCCGTGTTTCTCTTTTTGTCTTGTGAATCTCATAGAGAGTTCTAAAAATTTGATATGAAGCCCCTAAGGAGGAAGCTGCTCCACTGCCTATTAGCGCAAAATTCTCGCCAGACATTTGTGAAAATGGTGAATGTGCTTACTGAACTGATTGGAAGTTACTGGTAAAATTGAAGAAATGCATTATCCGTGATTCTCTTTTTTCTTATGAATCTCCTAGACAGTTCTAGAAATTTGATATGAAGCCCCTGAGGAGGAAGCTGCTCCACTGCCTATTAGCGCTAAATTTTCACCAGACATTTGTGAAAATGGTAGATGTGCTCGCTAAACTGATAGGAGTTACTGGTATAATTGAAGAAATGCATTATCCGTGTTTCTCTTTTTTCTTATGAATCTGCTAGACAGTTCTAGAAATTTGATATGAAGCCCCTTAGGAGGAAGCTGCTCCACTGCCTATCAGCGCAAAATTCTCGCCAGGCATTTGTGAAAATGGTGAATGTGCTTCCTAAACTGATAGGAGTTACTGGTAAAATTGAAGAAAATGCATTATCCGTGTTTCTCTTTTTGTCTTGTGAATTTCATAGAGAGTTCTAGAAATTTGATATGAAGCTCCTGAGGAGGAAACTGCCCACTGCCTATTAGCGCAAAATTCTCACCAGACATTTGTGAAGAATGATGAATGTGCTTACTAAACTGATAGGAGTTACTGGTAAAATTGGAAAGATGCATTATCCGTGTTTCTCTTTTTTCTTATGAATCTGCTAGACAGTTCTAGAAATTTGATATGAAGCCTCTGAGGAGGAAACTGCTCCACTGCCTATTAGCGCAAAATTCTCGCCAGACATTTGTGAAAATGGTGAATGTGCTTCCTAAACTGATCGAAGTTAGTGGTAAAATCGAAGATATGTATCATTCATGTTTCTCTTTTTTTCTTATGAATCTCGCAGAGAGTTTTAGAAATTTGATATGAACCCCTGAGGAGGAAACTGCTCCACTGCTTATATTAGCGCAAAACTGTCCCCAGACATTTGTGAAAATGGTGAATGTGCGCACTCAACTGATAGGAGTTAGTGGTAAAACTGAAGAAATGCATCATCCGTGTTTCTCTTTTTGCTTATGAATCTGGTAGACAGTTCTAGAAATTTGATATGAAACCCCCTGAGGAATATGCTGCTCCACTGCCTTTAGCGCAAAATTCTCGCCAGACATTTGTTAAAATGGTGAGTGTGCTTCCTAAACTGATAGGAGTTACTGGTAAAATTGAAGATATGCATCATCCGTGTTTCTCTTTTTTCTTATAAATCTGCTAGACAGTTCTAGAAATTTGATATGAAGCCCCTGAGGAGGAAGCTGCTCCACTGCCTATTAGCGCAAAATTCTCGCCAGACATTTGTGAACATGGTGAATGTGCTTCCTAAACTGATAGGAGTTACTGGTAAAATTGAAGAAATGCATTATCCGTGTTTCTCTTTTTTCTTATGAATCTGCTAGACAGTTCTAGAAATTTGATATGAAGCCCCTGAGGAGGAAGCTGCTCCACTGCCTATTAGCGCAAAATTATCACCAGACATTTGTGAAAACGGTGAATGTGCTTCCTAAACGGATAGGAGTTACTGTTAAAATTGAAGAAATTCATTATACGTGTTTCTCTTTTTTCTTATGAATCTGCTAGACAGTTCTAGAAATTTGATATGAAGCCTCTGAGGAGGAAACTGCTCCACTGCCTATTAGCGCAAAATTCTCGCCAGACATTTGTGAAAATGGTGAATGTGCTTCCTAAACTGATCGAAGTTAGTGGTAAAATTGAAGATATGTATCATTCATGTTTCTCTTTTTTTCTTATGAATCTCGCAGAGAGTTCTAGAAATTTGATATGAACCCCTGAGGAGGAAACTGCTCCACTGCTTATATTAGCGCAAAACTGTCCCCAGATATTTGTGAAAATGGTGAATGTGCGCACTCAACTGATAGGAGTTAGTGGTAAAACTGAAGAAATGCATCATCCGTGTTTCTCTTTTTTTCTTATGAATCTGGTAGACAGTTCTAGAAATTTGATATGAAACCCCCTGAGGAATATGCTGCTCCACTGCCTTTAGCGCAAAATTCTCGCCAGACATTTGTTAAAATGGTGAGTGTGCTTCCTAAACTGATAGGAGTTACTGGTAAAATTGAAGAGATGCATTCTCCGTGTTTCTATTTTTTCTTATGAATCTGCTAGACAGTTCTAGAAATTTGATATGAAGCCCCTGAGGAGGAAGCTGCTCCACTGCCTATTAGCGAAAAGTTTTCACCAGCCATTTGTGAAAATGGTGAATGTGCTCACTAAACTGATAGGAGTTACTGGTAAAATTAAAGAAATGCATTATCCATGTTTCTCTTTTTTCTTATGAATCTGCTAGACAGTTCTAGAAATTTGATATGAAGCCCCTGAGGAGGAAGCTGCTCCACTGTCTATTAGCGCAAAATTCTCACCAGACATTTGTGAAAATGGTGAATGTGTTCACTAAACTGATAGGAGTTACTGGTGAAATTGAAGAGATGCATTATCCGTGTTTCTCTTTTTGTCTTGTGAATCTCATAGAGAGTTCTAGAAATTTGATATGAAGCTCCTGAGGAGGAAACTGCCCCACTGCCTATTAGCGCAAAATTCTCACCAGACATTTGTGAAGAATGATGAATGTGCTTACTAAACTGATAGGAGTTACTGGTAAAATTGGAAAGATGCATTATCTGTGTTTCTCTTTTTCTCTTATGAATCTGGTAGAGAGCTCTAGAAATTTGATATGAAGCCCCTAAGGAGGAAGCTGCTCCACTGTCTATTAGCGCAAAATTCTCGCCAGACATTTGTGAAAATGGTGAATGTGCTTACTAAACTGATTGGAGTTACTGGTAAAATTGAATAAAATGCGTTATCCGTGTTTCTCTTTTTTCTTTATGAATCCGGTAGAGAATTATATAAATCTACGTTTTGATGGCTTTCTACCACTACAGGACTGAAGCGTGTTAGCGCAACATTCTACCGACGTTTGTAAAAAATGGTGAATGCGCCTACTAAACTGATATGTCAAACTGTGTGAATATGATTCCATTGTCTGACCTAATCAAACCACATTTTCATATGAACATAAAAAGTTTGAGTTAAAGCTACACTAATTAACCTCGCCAATAAACTTTAACGGACAGTGATAGTGACATGTACAGCAAAAGTCCAACATGATCATGAGATTTCAATGTAAAAGATCAGTTTCTAGCCTTGGTAGCCTTTGGCCAAGCTGCATTGAGAACTGCAACACATATCTGCGAGAGTAGGTGCATACAGATGTTCAAGAAAAACATGTCCTTTATTATAGGAACGATTAGTTACAACGTAGGGGGAAGTAGACCTTAAGCAGTCATCTGAAAGTAGATTGAGATATAGCATTCCCTTTTGGTGTTCTACAAAAACGAACTATGAGGTTTATAACTAAAAGCAATCCTAGAGCTACATGCAGGCCTTTATTTGCAAATCTTAAAATAATGACTGACGAATCATTGTTCATTTTGGAAACGGCAACTCTTATTTTCGAAAATAAATCTAAATTTGAAACTTTCGAAATTAATACGTGTGAAATACTCAATAATAATTTAAAATGTTCTAAAAATTTACATGTGTCTCTCTGATGCTATCAAAAGCAATAATAATTTAAAGAAATTCTGCCGTAAACGCGGTTTAAAAATTCGTGCGTCTTTTTCGGCCACCCTGTACTATGTGTGAGTTCTAGGGTCCAGTCTAGTTCGAATTAGCTTTGACATTAAGAATGGTTGTGTTCCTCAAACAATATGCTTTATAATATATGGGTACATATTCAACATTGCTATTCCTCTTATTCTACTAGAAGATACATGTTTCTTTTTGGGCTAATTTTAGATTAAAAACTAGATTTTTTGAATAATTTTTCCCTCATAACATTTTAGGAATGCCAGTGAAAAAATCGTGCCTGCACGCTATTCTTGACTCAAAATTAATATAGCGCACTTACACAGAGGTGCATTTGGTTTATATTGCAAACCTTGGATTTGTATTTAGCAACTGCATTCAATAAAGATTTTCAAGAACATGGGGTCAAATACTATTTATTAAAAGATCTATACGTTATTTTACTTGGCACTCGGCTCTTTTAAAAAGTAGTACTCGGTGCGTTTCTAGATTGAAAAGTTGTATTCGATCGACGATTGCTTTTCATACCATTTAAGTCGGTTTCATATTTTTTTTTAGGACTATTCAAAGGAGTGCCTGCAGCATGTTCAGTCGCACCTCACGAAAACTGAGGTGCCTGTGACGCTTTTTGAGGTGAGTACCAATTTGATGTGAATATTGTAGCGTTTTTCTGAGTTCTTTTGGGTGTGGATTAAAAACCCTCGATTCTACAAGTAGAAATGCACTAATTCATTTAACTTGATAGAACATTAAAATAACGTTTCAGAAGCGTTCGGTGTTAATATAATCTTCAATTCACGTGTTCATATAACATATTGTAGTTGAAAATTATACAGGGTGTTTCAGTTTATTGTTGCATAACTTTAAGATTCGATAGAACTTATAAAATTAATGCATAAAGTCTATATAAACATGGGCCGAAAAATGCGTGGCTTCCGAAATACCGGGTGTTTAAATTTACTTTTTAAAATATTTCGAACAATATTTGATGTATAACAGTGAAAATTGGTATACAAGGGTTTTTTGGTACGACAAAACGAACCATGGGCATAGTTTTACTGTAACCGCTAGAGGGCGCTCTCTACTGTACCTGTAGTGTATTAAAATGAGCGAAATTTTTTTCTTAGTGCAATTTTTTGCCTTCTGAATAAAAAAAACTTATTCTCCACACTTTTCTGCATAAAAAAGCTCTCCTGTGAATTTTCGTTATAGTTAGCCATGCATTTTTAATTATTTATGGGAAAATAATATTTTTTTTACATTTCCGATTTGGGCATTACAAGTAATTAAGATGATCGTTTAGATTGTGTTTTTAAACACAGCAATAATTCCTAACTCCAAATGTTATACAAAAAAACAGAATATTAATTTGTATAATTTTCCAATATTATTTTAACAAATTTAATTATTTAATTACAACTAAAATGCTATTGGATAGTCAGGACAAACATACAAAATCTAAAGTAGTTGCTCGAGATGTAAACCCAATACACAATTCACATCTACGAATGATCGAACGTGGTATAGCATTATAAAAATAAGGCCTTATTTCATGACATGCATTCCTGATTCTGTCTATTAGAAATCCGCATACAAAGAAATCTAATGGATTTAATTCAGGGGATCGCGGAGGCCAGACGACTGGTCCTCCACGGCCGATCCATCTTTCTGGATAATTTTCGTCCAGCCAGTTTCTAACTATTCTCGAATAATGAGCTGGACAACCATCAAGCTGGAACCAGGCCAATCTTCTTAAATCTAACATAACATCATCCCACTTATTTGCATGTTCAGTCTTTAAAAGTTCCAAGAATTTCGTAGCATTTAACCTTGCAGGCAAAAGGTAGGGTCCAAATACGGTAGATACCAATCCACACATTCACACTAAATTCATGCTGAAAATTTCTTTCCCGAACTGCATGCGGATTTTCATGCGACTAAATATGTTGATTATGAAAATTTACCACTCCACGTCTAGTGAAGTATGACTCATCGGTCCATAAAACGTTACTTAAAAACTCCCTATTATTATCAGTTCTATCAAGAATCCACTGACAAAATGTGATTCTTCGTTCTCCGTCCCCTGGCTGTAGTCCTTGCACAGGTTGCAAATGGTAAGGACGTCTATGGTCATTTCTAAGAACACGGTGAACATGGCTTGCTGAAATTCCCAAGGCACCAGAAACTCTCCTAACACTTGTGGTCGAATCTCTATCGAACTCACGCAGAATCATTCGGGTAAATCTGCGCTGACGAACTTTTATGTTTTGATCCCTTTGGAGATTTCCAAAACCATTTTCGATGGTTGTTGGCGATGCACTCTTACAAATACTGAGCGAGTTGGATGTCGTCTGTTTGGAAATCTTCGTGCGTATTCTCTGGCTGCTACTGCTGCGTTTCCATTTACAAGGCCATACACAAAATGAATATCCGCTAACTCTTGATTGGAGAATAAAAATGGCATTTTTATAAAACGTACAAAAAAAAACAGGTAAAAGAAACTAAATTTCGTGCAGTCACAATTGCAAAAAAACGTTTCCGGTGTCAACAGACAACAAAACTAACTGTCAACTAATTGACGTTTAACCTTATTCTGCTTTCAATTTCAAAAATATTTGCCGGCACAGCCTACTTCTAAAAATTATCGAGATACTGACTTTTTAACGTTATTTTATCATAAATAAATGCATCGAACCTTAAAAATCGAAATATCTCAAAAACGGCTAACTATAACGAAAATTCACAAGAGAGCTTTTTATGTTGAAAAGTGCGAAGAATCAGTTTTTTTATTCAAAAAGCAAAAAATTCCACTAAGAAAAATTTTTCGGTCATTTTAATACACTACAGGTACAGTAGAGAGCGCCCTCTAGCGGCTACAGTAAAACTATGCCCATGGTTCATTTTGTCGTACCAAAAAAACCCCTGTATACAAATTTTCACTGTTATACATCAAATTAATATTGTTCGAAATATTTAAAAAAAAACTATTTTAGAAAGTAAATTTAAACACCCTGTATTTCGGAAGCCACGCATTTTTCGACCCATGTTTATATAGACTTAATGTGCATTAATTTTAAAAGTTCTATCGAATCTTAAAGTTATGCAAAAACACCCTGTATAAAAAGGTAATTCCTAAATTCCGTTCATTTCTTAGTTCAGTGTCTGTATGTTCTTCCAAATTTTTTCAGGCACTTATCCACTTTCCGGCAAATTAATGCTTTTTATATTTTTTATCTATCCACGTGTCTCTCAAACTTTGCGTTGAGATGGAAAGAGCGCAACTATCAAATCGGCAGCTCGTTCATGGATAGCTTCATGAAATAAACTGAATCGTGATCGTGTGAACTGTCGACGAACCTCGCTGGTTCTTTACCTTACCCCAAAATTATCTGCAAGCACCTGCATTTTTAAAAGTAACAGAAAAATTCAAATCTAATATCATGTGTTAAAAAATTGACTTATGTTACGTGCACTTTGATCCTCACTACATAATACGATAATTAGGAGACAAACATATCCTAAACTGGCTCCTTCTTCCCAGTCTGAATTCGTTGTCCTTCGCGCAACTAACGATTGCCGAACGCCACTGACCTCCGCAAGACAATTCTTCAGCCCCAGTAGAGCTAATATGTCGCAGTAATTTGAAAGATAAACCTCTTGCACGTTCCTACGGGAAAAATGTGTATACTTCGCTGGAATTTCAAATTGTTCAGGGATGTTTGCAGTTCGTTGTTGGAGAACCTTGTGTCGATGCAATAACAAGAACATAATATCCACTGTGGGTGTACAATGCGTATTGCTCTTCTGAAAATTTGAAGTAGGATTGCTGTTTCTACTCGATCGTGGGTTTATAGCTCAAAGGAAATAGACAGCCGGATGGAAAAATACCGATTTCGAGGGAAATGTTATCGGAGTCTTTCCCTTTTCATGTATTCGAAACAATGAACGCTACCGCGTCGAGAGGCACTTCAAATTTTTATCAGTAATTTAAAAAAAGTCGTAAAAACGTAGAACAAAGGTGACAACAAAGTGTATCGACCTTTTGTCACAAATTCTCATATGTACTTGTGATACTTTAGACAATTTCTATGGCATGTATACGATTTCAAATCTGGACTTAGTTTGTCTCTATGAAGGCACTTGAAGGTCACTTCAAGGTCATATTATCACGACTGTCGCGTGGGTTACAAGTTCTGGGTTGAGCACAAATGATAACACAAAAAAATATCAAAGTACATATATTAACAAAACGCCGCGCAAATAAAAGTATAATAAAATGAAACAGGTACTTACTTTTTGGCCTAGGAAGGTCCAATCCCACGAAGAGAGATTCGCCGCGAGCAATCCCAGGGCAGGAATATAATATGTAACGGCCCATCAAGTTTTTATAAATCGGTAAAACCCCCCACCGGTGGCACAGATGATGCATTATTTGCCGACAATGTGCACATATCTCAGCGGATGAAGTTTAGGGTATCTATCGACTTATATGGCGCCTAAGTGGCGCGTGTAAAACACTATCAAGGACATTTTATCATTTAGGCTTTTCTGGTAAATAAGTCCGAATCAGAAGAGAATTAGTCAGGCGTGTGAAGATCATTGCAAGGTCACTTCAAGGACTAATTGAACATAAGTCTAGCATTCTAGTCCAGAAGTGTGTCACCCAAGTTTTTCCGGTTGTTGAGTCAAACTTAGAGATTAGTTTGCCTCTAGGAATGCATTTGAACGGTATTTTTTAGGACCTCAAAGAAGTTAAATAATCATATCCTACCACTTGCAATAAATGGCGGAATACAGGGTGTTTCAAAGTCGAGCCTTACCATTGGGATCTCGCAGGCGGTAAGAGATATGAAGTCGCTTAAAGTAGCAAAGTTGATTATTTAGGTAACTAACAAAACGCCGGAGAGATACGGAAAAACAGAATTTTCCAAAAATCGTTTTAGTTTTTCCCTGACTTCATATACTAAGTGAGATATAAATCCGAACACCCAGTTTAAATGGTTTTATTTTAATAAAAGTTGGTGAATGTATTTATCTTACTGTAAATAACAAGTGAAAAAATTTTCAGCCTTATCAGTTGGACATTCCTGTTTTTATACTGCTTTTTTTTAATTCACTAACGCTCTAAAAATGAATATTTCAGCCGCAGTAAAGAATCAACGTTGGCGGATTTTGGTTCTTGACATCCTTTACGATCGGTTACGATGCCTAGAGTACGGAGACCTGTACGATTTCGTCAACTTTGTGAGTTTGATAGGGGCCGTATAGTGGGACAATTGCAGTTAGAGTGCAAAGAAGTGTAGACACTGTGGTTAGGTGTTGTCAGGCATGGCTTCGAGAAGGCCGTACGCAAAGAGCAAGGGGTACTGGACGCCGCCGTAGAACAACAGACCGTGAAGATCGCCGCCTAAGATTATTGGCCTTAAGGGACCGTTTCTCCACTACCAGGTCCATTGCAAATGAATGGTTTGCAGAACACGGAAGACCTATTGGCATGCGAAGTGTTTACCGACGAATGAGAAGTTTTGGCTTGTTTTCATACCGGCCACACTGGGTCCTCCCTTTAACTCGAGAACACCGACGTAATCGCCTTGAGTGGTGCAGACAACGGTCACTCTGGGATCAGGAATGGA